TTTCACTGTCTTTTAAAAGTCAGAGATTCTGGAATAAAAGGGGGAAAATAATTTCTGTTTGTCATTAGAGATAATTTAAATAAACAAATTGGCCTGATAGAAATATCTGATTTCCTTATTGTGAATACAAGTGTCAGTAAAATTCACACTTGCCTCAAGACAGTTTAGAGTGAAGAATTCCTTGAAATCTATCTAGCTTTGACATTTGTTGAAGTTGTCAGTACTAAGTAGCCTTTAGGTATTTATTTAAAGATGTCACTCTAGAAAGACACTTACTCTAAGACAAATGATGCTGAAGACAACTGGGAGGCGACAGAGGGGCACATATATGCTGGTAAGGGCTGTCCTAATCCCTCTCCCAAAACCCCTGAAAGTCTCCAGGAGGCCTTGATTCAGATATTCTCTTGCATTGGGCCATTTCTGATATTCTTACCTTCTTTTTTCTAAGATATGAAAGTTAATTATGGTCATATCCAGCTCTGTCTTAAGTGAGCTTCAAAGCTGAATCACAGTGTGGCATGGGAAAGGGAGTGGTGAGTATCAGTCTTTGCTTGAAACATTTTCCTAAGCATTCAGCTGCAGAAGAGAAGAGGTGGTGTTTGGAAGCATTCTCAGGAGGGCACTGTGCAGTCTAATGGCCTGAATTCACAGGATCTGCTTAGAGGAATTCTCAGTCCCTGTCCTTTGCATGCTCATTTTTTCTTTTGCATATAAAAACAAGGAAATTGTATCTGCCTTCCTTTAAGGTCTAGATAATTTGCAGCTTAGTTGTATTGCTATCTGAAAAAGTAGAGAAAGTGTTCAGTAGAAACCAGCAGTGAGGAGGAAATCAAGTCCCTTCAATCTGTAAAGCTTTTATAAATTTTGCAAATGTTATATAAAACCACTGTATTTTAGCCAAATCACTATATGGACATAGCTACTCAAAATCACAAGTGAAATCACAGGGCCAGCAACTGTCAGGATCCAGTTGTTGCCACTGTAGTACAGCTATCTTAGCTTTCATAGTAGACATTTTACATAAATGTGCATACCCAACTCTATGTCTCACAGTACTTAAAGCTCCCCAATGAATTTCAGTTCAAGGGAAAATTCCAAAGTCTTTCTTTAACTTTTTATAATTAATGACCATGATGATGGGCAAATGTCATTAAAGGATGAGTAAGTTTCTAGCATTCTTAAACTTAAAATTAGGGTGGGTAATGACTCTGGAAACACTATGGATTTGGAGAGCTGCTTTCCATTGTGGAATTTAGGGCAGTGGATCACGGCAGCGTTTCATAAGTGTTAGTACCTCACGGGACCAGCAAAGACCAGCCTTGAGTCCCTCGTGCGGCGCCACTCCAGGGTGACAGTTATCTGGTGGCAGATCGGACACACTGGACTACTTCCATGGCAGAGGGTTACCTTTCATTCTCACAGGAGACAGTTCTGTGTTCTGCACATGTGGTCTGTGAGCTCAGAGGACGCCTTATTCACCTCACCCATGATGGTATTCATACTTCACACACCGTAGCTTCCGACCCAGAGGCTACTTCCCAACAGAGAAGCACGGCAATCACTACTGTGCATGCACATCGCAGGCTTACGGTGACTGGATGACCTGAGGCCGCTCTCTTGGAAAAACGGTGGAAGGACTTTCCTGATTCTCTCCAAGTTGTTAGTCAATTCCATACCCCGCCCCACCGTGTGTGTGTGTGGGTGTGTCTGTCTGTCTGTCTGTCAGTCTCTCCCTCTCCTCTGCCCTTCCCTCTCCCTGTCTCTTTTCCTGTTTATCCTCCTATATCTTAAATTCATAGCATTCACTAAACAATCCTTTCCTTGGCAAACACCGTTGGCAATTTCTTTTGATTTCAAGTTTAATTACTACCTCAAGTGATTCTCCAACACACACCTCCAGGACATCCTTCTGAAGTTATGGATACCCATTTCCAAGTGTGCAACAGTGAGCCTCATGGTATATCGACCAGATCCATCAATCTGTTCAGCCTTGAAGTTTCTTTTCTTTAACAAACTATACCACATCCTATTTTCCTTATTCTATTAATAGCAAACTTTTCCCCTGGGTTACTCCACCTTAAACATTTTATCCACTCTTCTTTTTCCTTTCTCTTTAATCCTCTTGGCACATTTTCCTTTTTGGACTCTCTGCCACCAATTCTCTCCTCCCCTTCATCCATTTTCTCTGCTCTACACACCTTGGAACATGTTTCAGATTAGCTCTCCTAGCTAGCTTTCTTCAAAAAAGATCTAATAGATTTATCTTGTTCTAGACTTTCCTCCTTGGGTTTTCCGTATGATGCTGGAATGATCCTCCTGGATAGAAAAATTCTAAAAGGAATTGATATGCATAACAAAGGTTCCTGAAAAACATTTCCACACCAGAGTGTGCAGACCCAGCCAGAGTTTCTATTTGGACAGACTGGCCATCTTGAAGTCAATCCAAATTATGAGCAAGCTGTGGTGTTGGTGCAGCCCAAGACCAACAGGACACTCACAAAGGATCAGGTTTAAGAGTACAAGCAGAGTCAAGTGTCAAAAGGAGAATAATGCCTAGAGCATTACATTTGCTTTGAAAGAAAGAGACAGTGATCGCTGAAGGCTGCTGAGGATGTAGCCAACCAAAAGCCAAGCATAAGGAAGCAAAAGGAAAGCAATCAAAGAAGGGCTATTCCAGCCTCGTGGGAGCTTGGAGCCTCCTGGGCTGCTCCTTCCTAAGTGATACTGGAGCGGAATCATCTGATAATGATTATACATATCTCTGATCACGATTCTTGACTGTAGAGTCATGAAAGCAAAGATGGTAATTGTCCTAGCAATACCTTACAGTACATGTGGTTGTTTTAAAAAATAGCACAGTATCTAAATGCTGATAAGACCAAAACAAAACAATGTAGTCGGGCTTCTCTGGATTTAATTCTAGCCTTCAAATTAAACTTGCTATAGGAGATTCTTGGCTCCAACAACTGAGCTGATGTTTCAAGTGCACCGTGAATCTGTAGGCACAATCCTGTTGGTGTTTCATGTAGCTAGAATTCTCACTCTGGACGTCTACATCATATACACAGTTCCATGTGCTATCTTAAATGCTGTTTTTCCCGAGTAACCCCATGCCACAGTTAGAAATGATACATCCCCCCACCCTCTGCTTTGCCAGTCCTCCACAAAAAGGAAATCGTTTTTGAAGGCATTTATAATTTCTCTCTTTATTCTCCTTTTCCACCTTATGCCTTCTTTCTTTTCTGTAAATTCCTTGAAAACAATTTGTATCAGAGTCATCTTGGAGCTTTGTAGTTGTCTTGTAGATACTGAATGCAGTGCTTTAAATTAGTGAATTTACAGATAAGAATTTAATTTTTATATTTACGGTTTATGGCAGTATTTGTTAAGCTGGTAGATCAGCAATGAGTATAATTTAAACAAAATAATTCCTATCCCTTTCCAGTAACAAACAGTCAGCTTTTTAGGAACCAAATCAAATACAGTAATATATCTTCCAGGATCTGGGAAACCCTAATAAAGGTAGTTATGCATTTAGAAAATGATAATGACAGCAGTTATACATGGACAAGACTGGTGTGCCGGGTGTGGATTATCATTCACATTATATACACTAGTTCTCAGAACACTTCTAAAGTGCTATTACAGATGTAGAAACTGAGTTATAAAGAACAAAGAGTTTGTCTAAGCAGCTGACAGAACCGGGATTCAAATCCACATAGTCCTAATCCATCATCCATGCTATTAACAACTCTGTACATAACTCAACTCCTGGCGTATTCTCCCCGCCATCCTAAAAATGCCCATCGGGGAGGGACCTCTGGCTGGAAGGAAGGGCACATGACCTTCTAGCTCTCCTGAAGGTGACCATGGAGCACCTTCTCAAGGGGAAATGGGAAGAACTCCAGAGCAAAGAGCACAATAAGAATCAAGGGCTCCACTGAACATGTTTTAAAAATGGTATTTGTGCAAGAAAATTCTAGTAACACATCTCCAATGTCATTATATATGGCTTTTGGTACAAGGAGATAGAGAGAATGACGTGTTCTAAGGGTGCTGCCTTTGTAGTGGCCTCAGAACCAAATTTTCTGAAAACTAAAGTAGAATATATGTGAATACTGGAATCATGAGCACCCTTATTGCACACACCCTGCTGTGAGTTACTCTTTGAACGGAATTGCTGCTTGGACTTCAAACCACCATCATGACCTCAAGAGGTTAGCAGAAGAAAGAAATGCGTTGGTTCAGAAACCATAACATGGGTATAATGCCATTTAAAGGCACAAGACTTAGAACTGAATGTGGCTTCTTTTTTTTTTCAAAAAGTCAGTCAGTCAATCCTGTCCTGAAAAAGAGGAAAACTCAATGAAATATAATGCGTTTAAACTCCAGACTCATATAGACAGACTTAGTAGCAGTAAAATATTATTTTGCCCATAAAAATAGATGCAATGTTCTTAAATATCGCTAAGTGAATCATGGTCTTTAATTGAACACGTTCATAGAAGGCAGTTTTGAATTGGTGACAATCTTTTCAATGTGAAATGGCAGATGCTCTGTGGAAAGAAATAGTAAAATATAGGCTATGTGAAATGCATTGGGCCCATGGAAAGTGCATGATATAACAACTAAAAAAAGAAAAAGAAACACAAAGAGATCCAAGAGGCAGGCCAGGCAGGCCCACTGTAAAGCAGTGTATTTTAAAAATGTATGTGTTTATATGATCAACCAGGGACACAGTTGTCTTCAGGGGAAATCCCAGAACATAGGCAAGAAACGAGCTCATGATCAAACTTGAAAAACAACAAAAGTACTTCTCAAAATTTAACTCCAGTATCAAAGAAGACTAAAAGGAAACTACAAATACATATGAAATATAATAACATTATATTTTCTTGATATTTCTGCCCACAGTTCAGCAATTTTTGTTTTTAAGCGTCTAGCCAAAGGAGATTTTTCTCTTCCTGAAGTCAGTACACAGAAATAATGATAATAATAGTTGTTGCTGTTGTTGCTGCTGCTGCTGCTGCTGTTGATATAAAGATTATAAAATGAGAAAGGAAAGGAAGAGGAGAAGAGGGAAGGGAGAGAAGGAGGGATGAAGGAAAGGAAAAGAGGAAGAGGAAAGGAAGAGAAAGTAGAATTTTAGTTTGCGTGACTTCTTGTGAAATATGTTCAGTTCAATCATCTCCTCCTCTGAGAACCTTCTCAAAAACCGCACTTTGCTAGTAGTCTGTAGTGTTGTAGTTCTGATCATGTTTAAGTATACTAGTGCAACATTTTGTTACTAGAGTATTCTGTATATAACGACTAAATTTCTAGCACTCAGAATAAACATTTCCTTGACACAACAGATGCTCTTAATTTTCCCTTAATCGATTTATTAATAAAAGAGCAACTGAAGGAAATATTTCAAAAAGAGAATTCTAGTCACTTTGGATGAAAAACTTGCAGAATGACTTACATGATGTTCAGTCTCAAGTGAATGATTTTTGTCATTCTAAGCTGTTTGAAATAATCAGCCTCATAAAACTTTAATGACCACCACTTTCGCACTCTGTGTATATAGTGAAGCCTCCTCATTCATTTACAAAGGAGACACACTTAAATACTCAATTATCTGAATTATTCAATTATTATGTGACATGAGTTTTCTCTCTGTTCCTAATCTCAAATGTTCCCCAGTCAGTCTTACCCTGATGATACCAATTCAGCTTTGTAGAATCTCCTAGGAAAATTTCATGGATCACACCAGTCTGTAAATACTGAGAGCACTTAAATATTGTTGTAATATATTTTATCCAATTTAATAAACTTTTCCTAATGCAGTGTATAAAATATTTTACCATTACATTTCTAGAAGTTCATTTTTTAAATAAGCTTATTGTGATTAGTGAACTTTAGATATTGAGCATATCTCAGTATCTTCTTAGAATTCTATTTTTTTCCTTATTATGCTAGGCTCATTAGGAGATAAAGTAGATAAATATACATTATTGACAGATAAATCAATAATTGGGCAAATGATTTATACACAACTATATATTTATAATTCCATAGGCTGATATAATATATTTTATTGGGAAGAAGTTATAAGCATATAACTAATAGATCATCTATAAAAAGCAAAGCAGAAAAGCATATTCTCTCTGCCCAGGTAGGTGATAGTGTTTGTGCCAAATAATATAGCATTTACACACACACACACACACACACACACACACACACAGTACTTTAAAGATGCATTATTTTGTCAGGCTCCCTGCCAATAAACTGCATTGGTAGCAGTGGTGTCTTGCTGATGATTCGAAAGGTGAGTTAATTAGGGGCTGCAGTCTGGAATGTTATCAAGCTGCTGCCTGACATCTATCTGCTTTCCGTACAGGTGTGAAATATTGACAGCAAATGGTAGAAGTGTGATGACATTTTTACCTTTCACTTACTTGATTAAATTCTGATATGACTCACACTTCAAGGGAATGAAACCACATCTGTGTTCGAGTAACTATAGACCATGAGAAAATACTTGAGGAGCTCAAAAGAAACAAAGCACTAAATCATTAACAAAATGTTCTTGGGACTTCTTCTATTTTTTTCATTGTAGGACAAGGGTTAATTTTAACTACATTGGTCAAACTTAGCCATTTAAACCACAGTACCTTTCTTTAGTTCTCGGGCTCTATAACCGTGATGATACTGAAAGCAGATCCCAGTGAAGTTTGTGAGTTTATAATATTATAGAAATGATATGAGCACATTTTCTAAAATAATTATTAGGCTTTGGAGAGACAGAATTGCAATTTCAAGGATATTTTGGCTTAAATATCACTTCAGAGCAGCAAAGATTATAAGAAGGCCCAAATCTTGACAGGAATACTTAAGTGAATTAGATGGAAAACTTCGAGTACAATATAAAAGGAGAAAGTTCTATAACGTGTTTTACCATCAAAAACCTAAAAGTTCAATTTTTTAAAAGAGTTTATTGTAATAAATGAATTTTAGATATTGAAAGTATCTAAGCATTCTTTTAGAATGACCCTATTTTTTTGACAATGCTAGGATTGCAAGTAGACAAAGTAGATATGCATCAATAGATAAATATTCATCATCAGTAGATAAATCTATCAATTGGGTGAACTTTCTCTGTGTAATCAATGAATCCCCTTTTTCTAGTTTCTCCCAGACCCTGATTCTGATTTCATATCCCTATTCCACTGATGTCCTGAAAATAAAAGATATTTTATAAGATTTCAAATCTTAATCGAAACCCCTTAAATATGACCTGTAAATAAACATACTTTCATATTTCTCTTACCATGAACAATAAGCATGGTGACGATGATGCGGTGATGATGATAAAGGCTGATATCTGTAGATACAGAGATGGGATTATTTTAAAAACTAAATTTAAATTGATTTTTTAAAAGCACTTACTGATTGGTTCATTCACGAATTTGTGGAAGATAAACATCTTCATTTGGTTCCACTGAAAACAGAGGCTCAAATAAAAATATAATAGCACATCATGTAATTGGCAAGCCCTCTCAGAAAGCAACAGTGAGGGGACGGGAGAGACAGGAAAGGAAAAATACAAAGCAAGGGTTTATTGTTTTGTCTTACTTAGTAGGGCCTCACTACTACTGGGTCCTCTGAGAAGCATAAAAAATGCCTTTCAAAATGAGGAAAGGGAGCTATAGCACTTGTTTCCCGCTGTTTAATTAAGGGTTGTCTCAGTGACATTGTATCCCCAACAGTTCTCAGCAGTGATTTCAGTACATAGCTGAAATACCAGTGTACCTGAGAACGCTCAGAAAAAAGAGCTGCAAGACGCACAGGAGACCCTGGAGACGGGATGGGACCCCACCAGCCAGAGAGAAGCTGAGTCTGAGCTCAGAAAGAACCTTGCATTGCAACTGTGACCATAGCCATGGGGTTCTGCGGGGTTCAGTGAGGGCCACTAAGGACATCTGGCACAGAAGGAATTCAATTATTTTTAAAACAAATGCTCTCTTAAAAAGTTTTTTGTGGTTAATTTTTAATCCAATCTTAAATTTTTCTGACATACATAGCAGTGACTGGCACTTCATTTCACTTATTTTATTTTCATCAAAAAGAAGTAGGCAAGGATAGACTTGACTGTATTTATATAAGAGAGGAGAAGACTTCTCATTTCTAGCACCATTTGTTATTATCAAGTTTTGCTCTTTTTTGATATCTGAGTTATAATAAAAATGATAATAGGCAATAAAATGGTCAGAATGCACATGCACAAAAACACTTTAAAAGTTCAATAGAGTTTGTAAATTGTTGTGACATTCATTGGCAAATATTCATTCTCCTCCCCCTTTGCACCCATAATACTAAGTAGTAGCTCCTAACAAATCATACATACATATGCCCAATACTCCTGTGTAATGGCTCTGGTCCAGTGACTTTATTTGACCAATGAGACCTCAGCAACCATCCTGCAAATGAAACTTTATAAACATTTGTACACTGGAACATACCCTTTTAGAACTCTGCCCCACCAAAAGTAGCCACAACAAAGACAGAACTGTAGAGACACCATGAGTAAACTACTGAAGAAGTCGTGGTCTTAGATTTTCCAACATGTTCTGAGTTCTCACGTGAAAACAGATCCTTTGGTGATCTCAGTCACACCAGGTGATACAAAAGAGCAACCCCCCAAAATCCTAAAATATAATAAAAAACTGTATTTAAATCACTAAGTTTAGTTCATTTTTGCAGTACTAGAAAACTGATACAGAAATTGGTGCCAGAAACCGAGTTCAGGAGAAGGAAAAAACCTACAATATTTAGCATTGACTTTGAGCACTGGAAGTGACAATACACCTGAAGGACAGCAGGATCTGCTTAACAGAGCCTTAAAAGGGATGGAGAGAGAAGGGTGGAAGGTTGTGGAAAGGTATGCAAATAGGATTGTTGCCTTTGACAACCCAGAAGGCAGAAATTGTACTCAAAACACTTGTTAATATTTCCATGTAAAAAATGGACCACCACATCCATTGACTCCTATGAATGATAAGACACAGCAAAAGACAGGTGAACTAAAGATAGAATTAGTTGACTTCCAGGTAGAATTTATAGAAGCTACTTCCAACCCAGGACTTTATGGGTGGGAAAATCAAATTCTTATTTTCAAGCTCTTCAGGGCAAAGATACAATCCAGGTTGCCACCATAAAATGTGATTTTAGGATCAAGATAAAATCACAGATGAAAGTACAATACCTTTTGTTAGAACCTCAAATGATTAAATAAATGCTTTATAGACACTCTCACCAGGTTTGAATGGCTTCTTAGAATTCTTAGGACATTGTTCCACAACAGGTAGCCTCAGTAGAGAGGAGTAGGTCTTGAAGAGACCTGTGAGTGTGTCTTTGGTCTTTCGGAGTACACTCTAGTTAGACATAGACAAATCCCACGAATTGTTTAAAGGACTTGAATCATCTTAAGACAGAAGCATTTCAACATTAACAGTTGCCCCTGGACTTTCTGTAGCAGGAAACAGCATGGGAAATGGATGCCTCTTCAGACATTTGCCTTTCCTCCTGGAAAAAGAAGGTAATCAGAAAACACGGCTAAGAGCTGAGACGTGGGAGCAAAGAGCCCACAGAGTGCAGCCAGGGGCAATGGATAAGAAGACCACCCCAAGACACATGAAGGTAAAATCCCCAACCCCAGAACATGAGGAGCTGAGTTCCCGTGCCAGCAGGATGACAGAATTACTATGCACGATGTTCAGGTGCCTTCAGGTGCACCCCTTTCTGAATGGGAGCCTCTACTCTGACTATCCTGTCCCACTGTCTTTAGCAGCTATGTATAGATACCTGGCCTTTTCAGTTAATAAGCCTTTGCTACCCAAGGAGCCATGACCAAAGAACAACATTTAAGTAGCCATGCATAAGGTGCCATATCCGTGAGATTTCCTTCTGAGCTGTACCTAGTTTAAATGATGGCATCTGTAAGGGCTCTGTGGTTCTCATGTAAATGCCACCTCCATTGTGATGCCATCAAGAGACGTGCTCCCACCCCACCCACCGTCATGAGGGCATAATTAACGAATGGATCAGTGACTTACCAAAGGGCTTCGCGTGGGTGTCCAACATTTGGGCTTGCCTGCACCACACTGAGTGTAAAGCAATTGTCCTGGAATATGCATAAGTAAGAAAACTTTATTTTTAATAATTATATTATAATATTGAAAAACAGGGCAAGTGGCTCCCGAGCCATGGACCGGGCATGTTTGGGAGGGAAGTGAGTTAAGCCCGCCTTCCCCTTCCTTCTTTCCTCTCTGTCCCTTCCACCGTATGGGGACACAGAACTTTGAGCAGTATCTTGGAACCAGGAAGTGGGGGCTCTCACCAGACAACGAAGCTGCCCCCACCTTGGCTGTGGATTTCCCAGCCTCCACAACTATAAACTACATGTCTGCTCTTTATGAACTACTCAGCCTCAAATGTTTTGTTATAACAACACAAGCAAACTAAGATAAAGTTTGAGCCTATATTTGGTACCAAAATGAGATTAGACGTTTGGAGTCTTGGCAGGGAGAATATTTTTACAAATGGAGTGGCTGTAAATCACGAAAGACCAAAGGGCCATCTGTAGTCCACTGCTGTATGGCTACTTCCCCTCCAACTCCTGTTCAGTCCCCTAATACACCGACTCTTTTCTTGGCCACATGGTTTGCTTTGCTAGTTGGACACTATCAAATGCCATGTAGGCCATAGCTCAATAAACCCTTCCACTTTGGGGCTTGGCTTCCAAGAGCACTTCTACATGGAGGGCAGTTGCTATATTTCACGAAGCTCAAAGTTATCTTCCTGAATTATTACACCCAGAAGTGAGAGGCCTTGGACGGCAAGCCCTGGCCTGAGTGAGTCTCAACTGAACACAGCTACACACATGACTGCAGCTACGTCATATGAAACAGAAAAACTGACCACTGGAGTGCAGACAAACAGCATTATAGTAACAACACAGTACTTGAAGCACTAAAGCACCATCTCCATGGAAGAGTTCATCCACCATGGGTCTGGCTCTATGTCTTTCATTTTTTAATTCCATATCTAGCATGGTCTTGCTTTGATCAATTTGGTGTGTGCAAATGACAGCGCTAATTCTAATAGAAGCTTCAAGGGACATTGTGCATTTGTATTCACCTCTCTAGCAGCCCTGACTTCTACCATTAGAAGAACATTTGATAAGGGCCCAACGTTGCTCCGGCTTTGGGTGTAAACCAAACACAGACGAGAGAGTGACAAGAGAGATGCCCAAAACTCAAACTCTGAGAGTCATGCAGATGTTGTCATGGTGCTTGCACAACTGTAAGACTGAGTTCCTTCTCAGGTTGTGTTCCCTGGCTGCCTCTCTTGCCTTCCTGTAGTCCCAGTCCTGCCCCAGAAAGGAACAAATAAAGGACCCCTGCCTCAGGTAACCTGTAGACACTTTAGATGTAAATAAACGTTTATGTGATTCCAAAGTGTTTGTGGGTGTTTGTTTCTCAGCAGTGTGACAAGACAAACCACACAATCATGGCTTCTGTGCTTGTATATCACCTGTCCCGTTCCAGTTCATGTTGGTTTCCCCAACCTTAGTCTGATTATATTTAGAGATAGGGCTTTGAGGAGGTAATTATAGTTAAGTGAGGTTATAATATTGGGACCCAAGTCAGACAGGCCTGGTGTTCTCATAAGAGAAAGAGACAGCAGAGGTTCCACTCCTTATCCCTGCACACAGAGGGAAAGGACTTGAAGGACATAACCAGAAGGTGGTTTAGCAAACCAGAAAAGGAGGCCTCACCAGAAATCGAACCTTCTGGAACCTTTCTTATAGAGTTCTTAAACCCAGAATTGTAAGAAAACAAAACTGTGCTGTTTAAGTCATGCAGTCAGTAGCATTTTGTTATGAACACCCTGCCCCACTAACGCACATACCTAGCATGGTGTGGAACACGTGTTTAAAGTTTGCTGCCCAAGTGAGAGCTTGTCTTCTCTCTTCACAGCATGAAATACATCATCCTTAATATTTATAAGGCTCCAAAATCCTGCGTGCAAAAAGAAAGTCTCTGTACACCAGTCATATAACATAAATTATGCACATTAAAGTAGTCAATTGGATTCTTATTTTGAAATGTGGTCTTTCTCTCAACTGAACTCATGGCATTGCAACCTGGATGTACATACTCTTTCTCTAAGCTGTATGTCATCCTCTTTCATTCCAACATACTGTTTCATGTGTGATTTGTCTACTACATTCAAATCGATTATTTGGTCCCCAAAATATTCCTCAAATCTTAATCATCACCATGAAAGGAAGTATGAACATCCCAGTGGTATATCCAATGTGGTGTAGGGAAAAACAGTTTGAATCTGAAACACAGCAACCATAGTTTTGGTCCTGTTTGTCAATCTCGGGTGAAACAAAATTCTGTGTCATGACTTTCTCAACTGTCAGAATGAGAACTCATGATTTCTGAAGCCATTTATTCTTTTAGAGTTTTATGGTTTTTATGACTCTAAGCCCTAGCACAACTTCCCAGTTGATTCATACCACGTACTGTCATGTTATTTATTAAAGCCTTGGCCTAATCTTAGAGTATAGTTCGTGAGCTCCTTTATTCTTACTGTAAATATCTGATGTTCATTTAAAATAAATCCACAAATTAAGTGTAATTTTTCTCAGAATTTTTGAACATGAGAAAACGTACATGAGTACTACATAATTAAGTATCATTTATTTTTTTTTCACTGTTTAAGCAAGCTACGGATATTCAACTGCCATTGAAATATTTTTGTAAACCATGCAACCTTTTGCACAAAAGATAATTATGAAATAGCTAACATTCATTTGACCACAACCAATAAATAATTTATGAACTGGGTGTTTGAAATTATGCAAATATACTAAATACTTTTTGTTGCCTGTGCATCTGAGTAACTATGATTCAGAAGAAAGTGTGCGATGGATTAATAGATTCGACATTGAAGAGATTTGCATTTCTACAGAGTTCTTTTCTTTGCTGGCTCCTACTATCTTTAGTATCATGGCTCAGAAAACAAGCTTGACAATACTGTCTCTAAATGTATTTGAATATCCTGGCATCCCTATTCATCAGCCTCTTTGATGCTTTAAATGTCTTTTGCTTTCTTTCCAGAACTCTTTATGAAGACAGAGAGTTATGCTTTTAGCAGAGTATCCAGCTATCTTATCAAGCACCCTAAATGGAGGGGAAAGAGGGCCTTTAAATATTTTATATGTCTCTGATAGCCTTCCCAGGCTTCTGTTGGAAGAAGTTACACAGTGAGCTCAGTAATGGGAGCACATTGCACACCTGAATGTAGGAGTGCCACATATAATACTATGTCCCTCCTTAGGAGCCTCTGATTTCCTCAATTTCCTGCACAACATGAAAAGCTTGTTGACACCTGCAAATTGGTGGACAGACTCTATCAACAGTTATATTTATTGTGCCATTGGTAGGGACTAACATTGGATGATGGAAACGTGTTTGGTTTTGGATTATAAATAAGCATTGGAAGGTTTTATCATTTTTTAACAGGTTATCATCTAAAATTAGTTCTTGGAAACTACCGAGAAGTCTTAGGCTCATTTGTTTTCATTTCTTTCCATGTCATGAAGTGGAGTGAATCTCTGCATGCCCCATGTAAGATAATATTATTTTATTAAGTTATCCAAAAAGAGTGGAGCAAAAGAACACATGTCCAGGTTGTGTTTCTGCAAATAAAGATATTCTGAAGTGTTAGATGAATGTTGCTATACCAGGCAAAGATTCATTATTTATATTGACAGTAAATATGTTATTTTTTCATCTTACAACTCTCTTTAATGTAATGTGCCTTTGATCTCTAATCAAACTTCCATTGCACAAACTAATATGTGTTTTGATAGATGACTGGTATCTCCTCATTGTCGTGTAAATCCAACGAGCATTAAAAGAATAAGAAGCAGGAGACAAACTGTACAAAGATCTACATTGCGGCACAGACACAGTCAGATTTACCTTGAAAGGCCTTTTACCTGCAATGCCTGATTGCTTCAGAGCTATCTGATATTTTGCACATATGCATAGAAAGATAAGATCCAACGTGTGAGTTCGTGGCTTCACTAATATTGATGCTCATCTTCTCTGAAGGAAACAGTTCCTCTTAATCCTAATCAGACTTTCATAGTCACAAAAGTTCCTGAAACAATCATGAGGCTTAACTCTTAATCAAAATGCAAGATTTCCTTACTATCTCCTTGCCATCTGCTCACATCTCTATACTCCTTCTACCTGGCCAAACTGTAACTCCTTTGTAAAGATATTTCATGTATGCTTTTCTATCCTGAAAACACAAGGCTACAAACTGATGGCTCAAACCAACAGCTCACTCCCTTTGGCACTGTTGTCTGGATGGTTTTTGCTTATTCTGTCTTCATTTAAAACTGCTACGTTCCTACATCTGAGTCTGCACAGCAGAGTGTCTCGTGGATGGTAGCATTATTTTCTTATGTTTTCCATTAATAACGAAGTAAAAGAACGCATCAAAGCCATGCGTCCTGAGGATTGCTTACTCTGCTCTACATAGAAATCAGCTAAATGAACTTTAAAACATTCCTTTTCATTTAAGTACACCCTTAAAACAGTGTAAAGGCTGGAGCACCACATAAGCTGCTTACAATTTCTCTTGCACATTTTATCAGGAAAGCTATCTATCCCAGTTTTCTTCTCTTCAGAAAAATTTTAATGATCTGGGGTCACACCTCTTAAAAAGCCTGAGGTCTAGTTTTACATAAGATGGTCCAACTTGTAGGGCTTTATTTTCTTTTTATGCTCAGACCTCACAAACTGAGGGCCGCGGTCTTCAAATAGCATTCCTTGTTAAAATTGAACTCAGAAAAGAAGGTTATTCTACCTCAGAATTTTAAATAAAGCTTCTACAACAAAGTTCACTGTTCCAAAGCTTTAAATAAATCTGAATTAAAGCAGCATTCCATTACTAAGGTGTTTCAATGGGGTCCCTGATCCCCTTACTCCTAACTTTTTAGGGGGAGAATGGTGTAGACCTGGGATTGCTTCGCACAGTGGGGCCTGCTGGGACCACCGGCGTGGCGAAGCCCCGGGGGTGGGGGTAGCAGCAGATCAGGAGATTTGGGGCCTGTCGGGGTCTCCTGGATGAGACTCTCCGCAGCCAGGCAGCCCCTCCCCCCGCCTCCGGTGCCTTCCTGGGAGATTCTCACCCACACTGCAGCCGGGGCCACTGCAGGACTTCCGTTGTTGGTGCCAAAGGGGTCCAGCTGGCACCAACTCTCAATCTCTTAAACTCTCTCATTTCAGGAGCCTGGTGCTTTTAAGTTGAACCTTGCCACCACCTCTTTGAGGCGAGGATTATGCTAAGAAGATTAAGGTCCCTCCAGATATTCAGAACTTTTGTCTCCCTGCTGTCAGCAACGAAGGAAGCTGGCAAACGCTGGTCTCGCAGTAGCATTTAGTGCCGGTCAACACACCGTATGGGCTAACATCTGAGCCCAGAAATAGGAAAGGCGAATATAAATAGATTTGAATTGGGGTTGGACAAGGATTTGGCAGGCAAAAAAATGACTGTGTGTTGATGGGGTGGAGAAGGAGAGCTGCCAATTGAGGAATTCGTGGTCTAGGAGCTTCCTGACCCCGTCCACTCCAGGAGCGTGAAGTTCCTGTGTGCTCGCTGGACTTCGAGCCTTTGGCTATAATTAGGGAGGTTGCTGCTTTCCCTGGCTGATTCCATATGCATGTTAGTTGTGTTTGGCATTAGGCAGCAGCATTTGAAGAGTGTCTGGCCCCCACCAGCGTCTAGTTGAGCCAGTCAGTGGAAAAAATGACAATGGTATCTGGCATAGAATTCAGGTGTTAAAATACCTTTATTAAAAGAGAGGAAGTAACACCTATTAGGAAATGACCCCAAGCTACCAAATTTTATTAGACTGGAAGGAGGTGTTTCCCTCCCACCCCCTTTGGAGCGTACTGTAAATTCCCTTATGTCGTTCATGGTATTTAAGTACAGGAATGGGTGCATTCAGTAATTTCAGAGTTTCAGTGCTATTTTTGTTGTGACTCTTTCTGTGTAGTATCAGGGAATACCGAGCTGTGACTTGGCATGTTTCAATAAAACTTTTTGTTACATATTTAGCTAAAAAAAAAAATTTGATGAGGGTAGGAAAGGGAGTCAACACTACTGGCAATTTCCCATTAGCAGTGCAGGAGGTAAAAGTCAAAAATCAAGCTTGTGGGATAAATCTGAACACGGCATCCGCACTTAAAAGAAATGACATTTCTCTTTTGCATCCCGAGGTGGGAGAGGGGACTTGACAGGAGCAGGGAAACCTCACTCCGTAATATGCGTCTGAAGCCAGGCCTGATGTCAGCAGCCTGCACACAAGGCTGTGGGGGAGTGGGCCATGTCCGCCCTCCACAACCCTACAAAACCGCTTTAAAGTCAGCACGAGGTGCCGGCTCAACCCCCTCCTCAATGAAAAGCATACTTCTTGATTAAAAATGTATGTTTCTACTTTATGCCAAAACAAGAGAGCATTATTTTCAGGATGATCATAGAAACCAAGTTAAATGTGTTTCTTATTTCAAGAGATAAAAAAGCATCACAACTTAGTAAAGAAACATATTCCAAGCTGGATGTTGGTTTAATGTAGCACTACTATGCACGTAATTTATTTTGAAACACGGTGATGTATGAAAATCTTCAGCATTTTTGACAGAATGAGATTACACATCCATCCCCCCTCCAAGCTTTAAGGAAAGAAAGCCTTGACTTAGCCTGCCAGTGCTATAGATAGTATCTGCGTACGTGGGCATTATAATACCCATGCTGCTATTTCCACTTTGAGTGATGGTAATTCCTGTGATAATTTCACCTTAGAAGGTTCCTGTAGGAGTAAGGAGGATGGTCAGAAAAGATGTTGCAGGTAATTTGTAGTCCTGTTGGACGACTTCTCAAGTCAGTTTGATTCCGCCTTGTCAGTCAACAGACTAAGACAGAAAGTATGAGAATGGGAGAAAATCTGTAGGCAATCCGGGTGCTTCCCTTTGCAGAGGGTAAGCTCAAGGGGAATGCTCTCTTGGGCTCCAGAAGAGAGAGATCACTGCCTGAACCAAGATCTAATTTACTAGATAATAATGACTTTCCAGCACTCGCATTCTCTTCTTGGGCATGAAGCAGACTACAGGGTGAATTATATGGTATGCAAAATAGAGAGATAGAGGGAGAAACTGAAAGAAAGAGTAGAGAGGAGGAGAAGATTGGAGGGAAGGGAGGGGGAGAAGAGGTTTATTATCCACAATGGAACAAAGTAAACCCTAAACTTTGGTAACATATTCATTCTGTAACAATATTAAAGATGACTATCATTTTTATATTCTTGGCCTTAAGAATACTTTGCCAAATAGACTCCTTTAAAAACACAAATAAATATCCATATTCTTCTGGATGTGTTCTCTTTTACATAACTTAATAGTCTTTTAAATCAATTCTCATAATTAGAAAATTACCTACCCATCATTCCACAAACTAGAAATTTCTATCAGTAGGTATTTTTGGCATCTCCTGATTTTATTAAACTAGATGCAAGTGTCTCTTGAATCACTAAAATTTAACTCTGTTTACTTTAAGTTTAGCCTTAAAATATATGCTTTAGTAGGAAGAGCTCTTGAAAATTATTAATCTACGAGTAATATTTAAAATAAGACTTTATTATCAAACAACTCCATTGAACAGAATAATGTATTGCCCACCCATTCTACACAATGCATTTTCTATAATCATACACTAAAAAGGCAGACACTGTATTAGAATATGTACCAAAAAGATAAATTGTAAAATTATGTGCAGATCCATTGACATATGAAACACTAGAAATATGGAAGTATTTTATTTCCTCAGAATTTATTTAATATCTACTCCGTGCTTTCTAATATATCAAATATTACAGAATACTCAGGAAACACATGGCACAGTTCCTTAGGAAACTTATAACACAGGTCAGATATTTTCACGTGAGTGGGTGAGGGAAACATAGCACACAATGTAATCTGACCACGGAACACATCTAAGCAATGGGATCACCGAGGGAGAGAGCTGTAGGGAGGAGCATCGGCCCAGAAATCAGATGGGAAACAATTACCACTTTTTAAAAAATGCAACATTATGGTTGTCAAGTCAACAATATCTGTAAGCTGTGGTTACTCACAAGTACCAAAATGTATACATTCCATGACCTAGTGTTTCTAAACTTTGCATAACTTGCTGTTCATTCAATTTCAGCACATTTTCACACCGTGTCTTATATCAAGCCCTTGAATATTCCAGAAATCAAATATTAAAAATGTAAGTCTTTGAGTATTAAGTAGAAATAGTCTTTAAAATTTCACCCCTTGAAAAATCATAGATATGAAAACCTTAGACTTCTTTCTCAGTAGAGCAGCCAATGGCCTTCTTGGATTAAGTACCCAGGGCATGGGTAATTGCCAGACTATCAGTTTGGAGTATTTCTGGGACTGGAGCTGTGCTACCACGACTGCTACCTGGGCATAATAGGCACTGCTAGTGCTCTAGGTATTGTTATAGCTGCTGGGGGTCTTTTAATAGGTTATTTAGAAAAAAGAAAAGAGGACAATTGGCCCTGGGTGGCTTTCAAATGGCGCTATTACTGGTTTGTTTTCATAGATTGGCAGTACCCTATAAGAGGCAATGTTCAAGAAATAAAATTACAGTTGTATTAACAGCTTCAAATTAGGGGTATTTTTTCAAATCATTGTGTGGGTTTTAGTGGTGTAAGAATGAGTGGTTTTAATTGGGCCTTCTTCCTTCGCAGCCTTGAGGAAAACCTTTCAGCCCAACAGGAGGAAGTAAGGATCAGGGTTGGAGCCACACCATTGTTTTTGTGAAACTGCTAGTCAAATTTTACCACAATTTGTCCAACAAAGTTGAAATTCTGCATCCCGGTCCTTTGTACTACGAAGTTTAAAGATCTTGCCTGGGTAGAATCTTCAGAAGCTGTATTGCCCTAGGTTCCTGCATAATAAAATGACCTTCTGAGAAGTTGACTAGCATATTTTGGCTGTGAGCATCAGAAAATACCACAAACAAAATATTTGTAAAGCTTATAAAACACTCAAGTGGAATATTAAAAGCATCTGTTTTCAAGGAATATAATTATAAAGTACTTGAAGTGAATCAGGAGGCAGGATTCACAAAACATTAAACATGTCGTAAACAAACCATTTGACTCATCTGAATACTAAGGGCAATGGATGGACTGCTGATTTACAAAGCAATACTTTCATTGAAGATTCTGACACCAGAAACCGTGACTGTAAAGGTCAAATGCTTCCTGATGTCACTCTGGGATGAATAAATTCTGGGTCACTTACTGGAGCAGCTGGAGATTCTTTTTTAAATAAGCACATGAACAAAGATAGCCTTAATTGTTTACCTTTTGAGAAACATGTGATCTGGCCAATTCACATAGTGAAAATGATTGTGATCAAGTGTGTGTTGATGGAACACATTAGAGTGAGTTATGTACTTGCAAACTGCAACTACGCTTAATTTCTAAAAGGGCATTCACTGTCTCTCTGGAGTGAAAAGTTCCAATGTGTTGAAAGGCAAAGTGTCTCTTTTGTTTTTGTTTGGGTATATCAAAAGCAAGAAACTTCACTATGGACATCGAAAAAGCAAATATAATTCGTAATGGTGCTGCTGTTTTGTGAAGGAAAAACACACATAATCCACTTTCTAAGATTAAATTAAAACTTCCTTCTCCGAATGTTAAGCTAAAATTACGGACAAAATTATTTTCTCACATTTGCATCATGGGACCTAAGCCTGTTATGCTTTCCTCCTACAAAACAGGCTCCTGGGAGTCTTACATACTTATCAGAAGCAAAATATTCGATTTGACATCTGCAATATACATCTCTGTTGAATGTTACCCTGAATCAAAATATAAGCCTGTTTTATATTGTTCTCCAGAGGTCTGAGGAGTTTGTCTTTTTTGTGCAGTCTTAAAAATTACATTAGTTTTTCAGAAAGATAGTCTCTAAAAGCATTAATCCTATAGGAATGTGTCAATGAAAATAATTTTATCCCATGCATGCAGGCAGAGACTTTGAACTATGTATGAGAACGGAAATCAGGAGAGGGGACGCGGAGGAGGAGGAGGAAGAGAAAGATACCGTGAAAAGTAGAGGTTACTGGGTGTGAAGGCTGAAGACTTCAAAATACAAGGAGAGCCCGAGGTCAGCACGTCCAAATGCGCTCATGGGGAGCAGTTGCTATAATCCT